TTATTCTTCTTTCCTCCAAGTACTCAGTTTGGTCTTCTTTCAGATACAGGATAACCTCTGTTCCATGACCCATAGGTTCACCCGTATCAGTCCTAACTGTGAACGATCCTTCTGCAGATGACTCCTAGGCATACTGTTCATCATCATCATTATGTTTGGTGATCATGGTCAGTTCCTCAGCAATCAAACAGGCACCAAACTGGACAATCATAGAAATAAGCACCAGCCTGCAAGGCTTCCATGAACACTTCAGTTCCAGACCTGGCGAAAGTACCAAGGTTACTGATCAAATTGGCCTTGGTCATGCCAATCCCAGTATCCACCACAGTGAGGGTTCGATCTTGGTTGTCTGGAATGAGATTAATGTGCAGCTCTTTCCCAGAATTTAGTTTACTGGAATCTGTCAAGCTTTCATATCTGATCTTGTCCAAAGCATCTGATGAATCTGAAATAAGCTCCCTCAGAAAGATCTCTTTATTCGAGTAGAAAGTATTGATGATCAGGGACATCAACTGAGCGATTTCCACCTGAAAGGTTAATGTCTCAACCTCCTTCTCCTCCATCAGCTCCTCTTGGGTCTGGGTTTCCTCAAGCATCTCAGCTAAGGGACCACATGGGCTTTGTGACAACACAGCACCAGGACAAAGAAGCCACTTAGCATTTCTTTTTAAATACTCCAGCAAGGTGGGAAAAAATATTGAAGGAGCAGGAAATACCTGCAACAAGACTGGTCAAGTGCTGATAACTTACTGAAGTTGAGTACTGGGTACAAAGAATGTTCTTTATATCATTACTTCCATTTTTGTGTATATTGAAACTTTTTCATAATAAAAATTAGGGAAAATAGCAAATTTAAGATTTGAATGTCTTGCTGCAGCATTCTAGTTATGTATCAAATTTTAAGAATCTTTTTATACAGGGGCGCCTGGGTGGCTCAGTCATTAACCGTCTGCCTTCAGCTCAGGTCATGATCCCAGGGTCCCAGGATTGAGCCCCACATCGGGCTCCCTGCTCCATGGGAGGCTTGCTTCTCCCTCTCCCACTCCCCCTGCTTGTGTTCCCTCTCTCGCTGTGTCTCTCTCTGTCAAATAAATAAATTAAATCTTAAAAAAAAAAAAAAAGAAATGTAAACTGGAGCAGCCACTATGGAAAACAGTATGGAGGTTCCTCAAAAATTTAAAAATAGAGGGGCGCCTGGGTGGCTCAGTCGTTAAGCATCTGCCTTCAGCTCAGGTCATGATCCCGGGGTCCTAGGATCGAGTCCCGCATCAGGCTCCCTGCTCCAAAGGAAGCCGGCTTCTCCCTCTCCCACTCCCCCTGCTTGTGTTCCCTCTCTCGCTGTGTCTCTCTCTCTGTCAAATAAATCAATAAAATTTAAAAAAAAAGAATCTTTTTATACAGCATTGATGGTAAGTTCCTCAGGTACTGCAGAATTACTAGTGTTCAGTTTGAAATCATAAGACAGAAGTTTTTTTCCTCTTACACCAGCACTGAAAATAAAACTCTATTTATTAAAAAGACAAAAATGAGCGGTGTGGTGAGATATAGCTCAAGAGTTCATTAAAATGGAGAAGTGAAGATAGCCAGGATATCACCATAAAACATTTATCGAAGATGGGAGAGAAGAAAGAAAAAAAGAATCTAACAGCCTAGGGAGGCAATTATCCCCTTTGCTCCAAGTTTCAAAGCAAATGAGCTGAAAGACAAAGGTGTTAAGACAGTATATTCCAAGCGGAGACAAGGCAGAAACACAAGTAAATGGATATATAGAGATGTGTGTTAATAAAAAGAAAAGTTTATTATGTTTTGTGATTCTATGTACTAGGGATACTTTAGAGAATAATAACTAAGTGTAGGAGAAATACTACCTAACAGGCCTACAGACAGATGATTTAGTTGTCTTTTTTTCTTTTAAGATTTTATGTAAACTCAAGTCAGCTCACATATAGTATAGTATTAGTTTTGGGATAGAATTTAGTGATTCATCAGTCACATATAACACCCAGTGTTCACTACATCAAGTGCCCTCCTTAGTGTCCATCACCCAATTACCCCCCCCACCACCCCTCTAGCAATCCTCAGTTTGTTCCCTATATTTAAGAGTCTCTTACAGTTTGTTTCCTTTAGTAGTGACTAACACATTCAAACACATTTGTAAAAACCAAAGAAAATTCAGGAGTCTAACTTGATTCAATAGAGAACTGTAGGATACATCCAGAGTGGTTCAGAAAGTTGTGATGAGAGAGTAATCTGAGGTAGCAGCATAGGGGAGGTCATTTAGAAGAAAACATGGAGTAAAATGCTAATAAGGTCTTCATACTTCAAAGCCAATGAGACAGGATCATACTAGAAATCAGAGTTATACATGAGCTGAAGCAATCTAAGGTGAGCAAGTACAGGAAAGACTGAGAGAAAACTCAGAACTGAGGGAATCCAGGAAAAAACACTGTGAGAATTTTGAAAAGGGGAAATGATTTGTTACAAAGAACAAAACTTAGGGTTCTAGCTAAATTCATTATAAAATATCTTTTTATCTTGTAAAGAAGCAAATCCTTGTATCACCTATCAAAAACTGAGCATCAATTTAAAGATATATTTGAGAGACAGCGAGGATGCAAATATGCAAGCTTGCATGCACAGGGGGAGGGGCAGAGGAAGAGGGAGAGAGATGACCCTGAGGTCACAACCTGAGCGGAAACCAAGAGTGTGATGTTTAACTGACTGCACCACCTACGTGCCCCTGAACATCAGTTTAAAACCAACCAGTCGGGGCACCTGGGGGGGGCTCAGCTGTTAAGCGTCTGCCTTCGGCTCAGGTTATGATCCCAGGGTCCTGGGATCGAGCCCCACATCGGGCTCCCTGCTCAGCAGGAAGCCTGCTTCTCCCTCTCCCACTCCCCCTGCTTGTGTTCCCTCTCTTGCTGTGTCTCTCTGTCAAATAAATAAATAAAACCTTTAAAAAAATAATAATATAAATAAATAAAACCAATCCTTTAAAGAGTTAGTCTCTGGTTATATATCTTCTCTTACACACTTAGCCTTTTTATTGGGGCCAGTGAATAAGAAGAAGTCATTATGCCAAAAGGAGGCAAGTGTAAGTCAGTCCCATAAAATGTTCTCAAAAAGACCCAGATTCTAAAGCACCCTCAACCAAATTAAGTTGTGAGGCATTCAATATGCAGAAGGCATAAGTTAGGAAGCCAAGAAAAGAGTCAAGGGCTACCTCACTGAAATACAGGCCATGGAATTAAAATAAAAACTTAAAAAAAAAAAAAAAAAGAAGAAGAAGAAGAAGAAATACAGACCAGAAGATAAAAACCTGTTTGTTTTTGGAAAGTGAACACTTGTGAGGAGTAGGATGTAGTTATAAGCAGGTAGGAGAAACGTTTTAGTTAATAGTATGAAGGATAAAATAGGAGAGACTTAGCGTCCTAAGGTCTGCAATTCATCCATTGGCGTTATCTTCAAGCTTTATCCCATAGAATCCTGGGTAAATCAAGGCCAAAATAGGCCAGAGAACCTACAGAAAGGGCTATAGAGCTGTATCCTGCCTCACCTGGAAGCATTTCGTCAGGGCCAAGTAGGAGAAAGGTGAAGTGGCATGCTCCAGGCACACTGATGCTGACATATCCTTTATGGGCTCGTCTGAGAATCAAATAGATCTCCTAGGATCTGTGCAAACCAGGAATTGGTAGCTCCAGCTGCACCTATTTGTGGCCTCTATGTCACTGAGCTGAGAACAGCTCCAAAGAAATAGGGAGTAAGGAGAAAAGGTGAAAAAAAAGAGAGCGCCATCTTTTCCCCTATTCTTCCTTTTCGAGTTACATTTTTCCTAGTAGTGACAACAGGTGTTGATCTATCCACTGCCTTCCTAATTTCCCATGTTTGGGAAAACTAAGTTTGGGCTAAAAATAACTACTAAACAGATCTATAATTTTATTAGCATCAGGCTCTAATCAAATGAGCCAATTGGTAGAGAAATCTGGATAATGAGAAAGCTTAGGCAAAGGACAGTGATTAAAAGAACAGACATTGCCAGGATACATAATACACATTTCATCAACTTAACACAAACTAGTTCACTAGAATTTCAAACATCAGTAATCCACAAAGACAGCACATTTACCCTAGAGACTATACAGCCATGAATTTGAAGGTCCTAGGCTACACAGCATTTTGTGCTTGCTATTTCTACCAACTACAGTTATTTCTACTAAATCCAGCAACTTCTTTTGCTCTATGTTAGTATTAAATTTCTTTAGATACTAATGAATGTCCCATAACAATGTCAAACCTTCAAGAACTTAACAAGATCATTTAATGTGCTAATCATCTAATTTTGATTCAGATAAAATATTTAAATATGAGTAATATCAGATTAGATCATTAAACTGAAAATACAAAGATGAATACAAACTAGCAATATATTCAGGGTTTTATATCACTGGGGTAAAGTCAGAAAAAAAAGTTATTTATCCTTGTAGTAAAAAATAGGAACCCAAGTAGTAAAACAGATCTCAAAAATGACAACAGGGCCAGAAAAAGTTACCCTATGAAACTGAAGTTAATGAAATCACATAACAAATACTATTATTTTTAATCAACCCTGCAGTGTGATTTGAAGGCAGCTTTCTTAATGTGAATAAAGCATATTTACCTCCAACAACATGGGTAGAAACAACTCAGAGGTATTCATGTTTAGTGGTTTAAAAAAAAAGAAGGCAAATTTTTACCATAACATTCTAAAGTAGAATGTTTCAGCTAATTCACTCTCTCATCCTTACTCACCATGAAAAGGAATTCCCACAGTCCAATTAGCCTAAGCAATTAATATTTCTACTACTACAAGCTAGTGATAAAATTTCAAAGAGAAAAATGCTAAGCATTGTTTATACTGAGCTGACACCTGATTATTCAGTCAATAGTGAAAGGATGTAATGAGGTTCAGAAAGATAACAATAAATTATAAATTGTCTGGCATATCATACAAAGCAGCTTACCTTGTAGTTTTTTCAATACAGCCACCTCCATTTTCAGAACTTGTTTTGGTTGTTGAGCTGATTCTACCTTCAGTGCAACATTTTCCCTGGTAAGCATGTCCAAGGCATCGTAAATTTCTCCAAAGCCCCCACCCCCAATCTTCCTCAACTGCACAGGAAATAAGAACATACACACATACAATTACTAGAACATTCTAATCGGAAATCAATTCATCTCTTATATTAAAAATATATATATAATTTTACTATCCCTATCTGAGGATAAAAGATCTCAATATTGTTAAATTAATTATACACATGCCAAGAAGAAAACAAATGCCTAGAAACAGCATCAAAACCTTTTCCCAGTTTTGCCCACAAAAGGTAATGAAATTATTTTAGCCACAGACAATTTTAAAATTTAGTCTACAGCCAGCATCAAAAAGGTCACAAAAAAGTGCAGTATCTGAAAGTTTCACTTCCCACAAATGTCCCTCGACAACCACATTATTTTAATTCTAAGGCAATCATTTGAAGACTTTTTAAACCATGAAATCTTTTTGCCAATTGAAATCTTATCTGGAACCCAGCTGAGATGTGTATGTGGGGAGATGGGAGTGGGGCAACCAGGGCCCAGCCCTCGCAGCACCACTTACCCTCCCCTCGGAGACACCCAGCTGGCTCCAAAGAAGAGACCGAAACCTCCTGTTTTATGCTATCCCAGAGTCTGCTATATAACCATATGCTCAAATACTGAACTCTAATCAAATAAAACACTTTAAACCGACACTTACTACCCTTCCTGATAAAATGTGTTAGCTTAACTGAGGAATACCAGGATCTTTGTCTGAGTAATATAAGCAAATTCTCAAGTGTCAGTGACAACTGAACCTATAGAGCTACAAGCACCAAGGTGGGTAATAAACTTCAAGTTAGATACAGCATGGAATTAGCCTTCTTCCATTTCCTGAAAGCCTTCTCTTTTCACATTATCAAACATCTAGGATGTGATATAATGCACAAAGTCATCACTCGAGGCACAAGGTCCTAAATCCTAACCACCCCAGAGGACTCACTTGAAGTTCTACTTCTTTCAACGCTGGGTCTGTACTGATTACTGCCTCCAGGCTGATTCTCTATCTTCTGAATTTCTATAGGAATTATTTGCTTAATCATTTAATTAATCATTTCACTAGGCTAAACACGTCAGATATTACTTATATTAATACACTGTACTGTTTTTTAACTTTCACTGTCAATGTCCTAGCCCCATACAGTGAAACTAAGCTTCTTCAGAGAGAGCCACTCCTTTCTATTTTTTTGTTTCCCCTGTAGCAAGTGGCTAAGTGGTAACTACATAATTATTGCTAAATAGCTATTCAATGCTTTGTATATAAGAGCCATAATCCTTTATTCCAGTTGGGTGATGGGAAGAGATATCCTGAGGAGCTCCAGTATGAACTCAGGATTAAAATAAAGTTCCAGAACTTCATTTCAGTTAGACAGTTTTTTGTTGGGCCCTGAGCGATACTTATGATTCTTAACATTTGTCCATTAAACAAAGGCTAGTGTAACTTTAAAAACTCATAAACAGTACAAAAACAGATATCTCTCTAATTACGGACTGTGGTGAGAGGTAACTTCATGTTTTACCTCACAAAAAAACCTTACCAAATGACAGAACAAAAATCTACACCAAAGTAATGATTTTGCTCCTTGGTCTATTCTTATGTCATTTCAACAATAGTGGAACATCAGTATTTTTTATTGAGCTTGGCAAAGCACTAAGACATCATCAATTCCTACAAGGCAAAGAGCTAGAGACAGTTTAGTATGATAAGGGTATGCAGATTAGGGAAAGTATAGAGGTAAACGGCAGACTTTCTTTTCCAAAGATGATCACAACAATATCAACAATCCCTTTTGCTCTTCTTCAGTTTGACCTTGACACTCACCCATCAAGAAGCAGAGTCCATTCCCCACCCCCTTAAATCTGGGTAAATCTTGTGACTGCTTTGACCAACAGAACACAGCAAAGTAATTCTGCACCAGCCCTGAGAATAGCCCTTGATAGCCTTGCAGCTACTGTTTCCAGTCTCTCAAAAGCCAGCTATCATGTAAAAAGTCTGACCATCCTGAGAAGCCACAGGCCTGTGGAGAGGGCCTAGAAAAGAAGCTACCAGGGATGAAGCAGGGTGAGTAAGGGAACGAAGGACCGCCGAGTCACCAAACAAGCCATTTGGGAGTAGATCCTCTAACCCACACAATCCTGCAAGTGCTACATGGTCAAGAGACAAACCACCCAAGCAAACTCTTCTCAAATCCCTAATCCACAAAATTGTAAGCAAATTAAAAATTGTTTTAAGCCTGTAAGTTTTGAGGTAGTTTGTTCACAATGGTAGTAACCAAAACACCATCCGTAACAATGAGCCTGTGATTTCTTACTAAAATGCCACTATGCCTCCCAAATTTGGGGGACATGTTCCATACATACATTAGCTCTAATTATCAGGACAGAGCAACTATGCCAGGCATAGCTTCATTTGCCACCTTTTGATATGTCTACTGGAAATGGCCCAACTTTATCACAGCACTTAATACAAAGCACTCACCAAAGAAACTCTCATTCCTGACTTACATAAAAGACTACTAATTGTTGGAATTTCTCGGTATCAATCCATGATGACAACATGGTTCTTATATTTACTCAAGTAAATTTTCAAAGCCTACTGATTTGCCTAATTGGTAAAACACTGTAACCCAGACACAACATTTATATTTCTAAAGGAAGAATCTTCTTTTTCCAATCTGTGATAGAGTAAGGAAACCACTAAAATAATTTTGCTAAACCTGCTAATGGAACAAAACTTTAATAAAAGAATGGGTAGCAATAAAATATATATTTAAATATATCTAAAACAAAATTTGTTCCTTTAAGAGCAGGAAAGATGGCAGATTCCAGGTCTCGGGCAAGGAAGACTTTAAAAGACTATTATTAGGATCATGTTGAAAAGACTCAAGAGACAACGTGAAGGGTGTCCCCTAGTCAAATGAGACAATTTGAAGATCAATAAGGATAATAACTACAACTGACTGAAACACATGAAATATTTTTAAATCCATGAATTCTTAATTGTATATTTTTAAAAATCTCATTGGTCACTTGCAGAAAATGCTAGGGAGCCACTTCGTTATTCTGAAAACTAGTAAATTAAGAAAAAGAATTAAGTATTTATTCTATTTTCCTAATCAAAATGTGTCTCAGGGTAATCAAATAGCTGATGATAGGAAATTTCTCTTTGTAGATGTACTTCAACTAAAAAATGAAGGAATGACAGAATGTCACAATCTGCAATTAATAAACCTAGAAAATGATGATCAATAGTGCTAAAATGACAATGGGCAAAAGGACACACAATGTCTTAATGGGTGATAAGACATTTTGGCCTCCTATTGACAGTTCCCAATACGCTTTTTGAAAAAAAATGCCACCTCAATAAATAAACCTGAACTCAGATCTAACTGAGCCTCAATAAATATCAACTTACATAAAACATATGAGACAGAGAAACATGTTAATACCATATGGAAGACATCAGAAAAACCCAAAGTATGGGAAATTTTACAGGCAAATGACCTACTTTCTTCAATTAAAAAAACGGCAAGGAAAAAAGAAAGATGAAAAGAAATCTAGAAATTAAAAGAAACTTAAGTGATGTCAACCAACTGCAATACCCAGGCTTTACTTGGATATGATTCAAACCATTAAAAATAATTTACAATAGGGGAAATGTGCAAGTTGAAAGGATATTTAATGATATTAAAAAATTATTCCTTTTTTAGATGTGATATTATTATGATTACATTTTTAAAAGAATTTTTATCCTTTAGAGATACACAACTGAAATACATACAGAAGAAATGCTAAGGTAAAAGATTTGCTTCAAAATATTCTGGGAGGGAGGTTAAAGAGAAAACAAGATTGACTATAAAATGATAACTGTTTAAGCTGGGGCATGAGTACATAAAGCTTCATTAAATCAGTCTCGCTATTTTTATGTATGTTTACAATTTTCCTTAATAAAAAGTTCAAAAATTTTTAAAAAGAGAAGTTTATTGTACGCTATTTTTTTTGTTGGTTTGTCTTTCCCTAAGTACGTTTTTTTCTACTTTACTCAATATCAGTTATCAGAGGTTAGGAACATTTACTACTATATAAAACAAGAATTATGGTATAAACAGGACTAAATCACAGGAAAATAACTGAAAATATGCTTTAGGCATATATGCAATATATGTATTATTTTCTATGCCAAAAATTATCCCCTGACATTTTCTCTCTCTCTAAGATGTGTACCCACCACTTTCCATCTTTCTTTGACCAGGATTCCAACACTGAGAATATCCGGCTGCTCTCCTCCTCCACTCATTGCAATTCACTGATGTGATAAAACAGCTACACAAGCAACCAGCTCCCAAGGATGGTTTCCATTTAACCTAAAACAAAACAAAACAGCGGTAGCATATCAGGGCTCAGTAAGTAACACAAACATTCCTGGGCCAAGTAGCACTACTAATTCTATACATTAATTAGGTTGCTTTCTTGGAAGACAGGTAAAAACCCAAAACAACTCAGGTTCAAGATCTGTTTAGTGCATATAAAAGTACTTATCTTTCCATTACAGATGCCCATGAAATAGCTAGATATTACAAAGACATTATGTTACAACACAGATATAATTTCAATCACTGAGATTGCTAGACTATAGAGCAAGCATGGTATCAATGGCAATTGACCAAGACAGACCACTGCCCTAACTACAACAACTTGCTAAAGAAAAAGACATGGCACCTAACTTACTTACAACACCTTATAGTTTAAGAGGTTGTAACTTAGAGCTTAACAACATCCAGAGCTAATAAAATTTTAATGTTACATATTGTTCATAATGCATTCAAGTGCACAAAAAATAAACATGAGCCACAGAAAAGGGCAGTTGATCAATTCCAATACAATGATACTTTAAGAAAAAGAGGATAGTAATATGAATAGCATACCTATAGAAAATGAAAATACAGCAGAAAAATATGGCCCAAAGGAGATGAAAACTGTAACTTTACGTTATAGAACAAACTAAAAGAAACTTTTTTTAAAAAGCTTTAAAACAACATAAATTGTAATTAGAAAAGCCCTTACATGAGAAAGCTAGACAACAGGAAGACATAAAAAGAAATCTGAGCTAACTCCGAAAAGGATCAGAAATGAAGACTTAACTAGAAGAGACATGAGAGAAGACACCATACGAATAAGTGAGAAAAAAAGAAGAAAAATGAAAAAAAAATTAAAAAGAAATTTAAAAGTGATAAATAAAAGGCAAAGTAAATACAAAATAGATATTCTAGGAGGCCCCCAAAAAGAAAACCCATGCTATGAAATAAATACTAGCCACTGTAATTAAAAAAATTTCTGGAAATTTAAAAAAAGGCTAAATCTGCATATTGAAATGGTGTATCACATACCTGGGAAAACAACTCAGAAGATTAACATCAACACACAGTCTCATAAAACTACTGGATTTTAAGGGGAAAAACATTTCATTGGCATCTGTGCAGTAAGTCCAAATTACTTAGAAGGGAAAGGAAAAAAGACATTGGCACTGACCGACAACAGGCACTGGCCCAGTTCACACCAGCAGACAATGAAATTATATATTTAAATACCCAAGGAAATAAAATGTAAGCCAAGGATGTTCTATACAGACGAACTAACTTTCATGGCTAAAGGAAACAAATGGTTATGGAACACAGAACTCAAAGAACACTATTCCCAGGAAATGCCCCTAGGAACCATGTAACAAGTATCAGACAATCAAGAAATTATGATAAAAGATTTGGCATGAGGAATGTCCTGACAAGGCCTAATAGCAATGATAACCCAGTAGCAATGAACACCCCTGCCTTCAGATGGTGGACTTTAAATGTCATTTCCCATTAAAAGAAATCAGACTCCATCAGGGAAATACAAATCAAAACCACAATGAGATACCACCTCACACCAGTGTTAGAATGGCAAAAATTAACAAGACAGAAAACAAGTGTTGGCAGGGATGTGGAGAAAGGGGAACCCTCCTACACTGTTGGTGGGAATGAAAACTGGTGCAGCCACTCTGGAGAACAGTATGGAGGTTCCTCAAGACATTAAAAATAGAGCTACCCTATAACCCAGCAATTGCACTACTAGGTATTTACCCCAGAGATACAGACGTAGTAAAAAGAAGCGGCATATGCACCCCAATGTTCATAGCAGCAATGTCCACAATAGCCAAACTGTGGAAGGAGCCGAGATACCCTTCAACAGATGAATGGATAAAGAAGATGTGGTTCATATATACAATGGAATATTACTCAGCCATCAGAAAGGATGAATACCCACCATTTACACTGACATGGATGGAAGTGGAGGGGATTATGCTAAGTGAAGTAAGTCAAGCAGAGAAAGACAATTATCATATGGTTTCACTCATATGTGGAACATAGGCAATAAGCACGGAGGACCATAGGGGAAGGGAGGGAAATCTGAAGGGGGAAAATCAGAGGGGGAGACGAACCATAAGAGACCATGGACCCCGGGAAACAAACAGAGGGTTTCAGAGGGGACGGGGATGTGGGGATGGGGTAACAGGGTGATGGGTATTAAGGAGGGCACGTACTGTGATGAGCACTGGGTGTTATATGCAACTAATGAATCAGTGAACACTACATCGAAAACTAATGATGTACTATACAGTGGCTAACGGAACATAATAAAAAAAATAAAGACTGATTGATTGATTTTAGAGAGAGCAAGCTGGGCGAGGGGCAGAGGGAGAAGGTGAGAGAGAGTCCACCAGCAGACTCCTCACCAAGTGCAGAGCCCGACATGGGGCTAGATCCCAGGATGACCTGAGCCAAAACCAGGAGTCAGCTGCTCAACCAACTGAGCCACCCAGGTGCCCCGGGTTGAATGTCTTTAAGTGTTAATTTCATTTGGTTGATGGGCTGCTCTGTTTCAGGTCTCTGACACCAATGGGGTATCCTACAATTCAGTTCAATTCTGACACTAACTACTCAGAATCAGTGAAGACCCTACAGGTTAAGGGACTCAGTCCCACAAGACTGCACAAATTTCAGAGTATAGCCATAAGTCCTGGGTGTCCCAAAGCCATACATACTTTGCCTGGCTGGCTACAAATGTGGAGCTTCTCACAGGTCTAACAATGTGCTAGAAGAACTCACAGAACTAATGAAAATGTTATACCTATGATTACCATTTTATTATAAAAGATACAAATGGGGACGCCTGGGTGGCTCAGTCAGTTAAGCGTCTGCCTTCGGCTGAGGTCATGATCCCAGGATCCTGGGATCGAGTCCCGCATCGGGCTCCTTGCTCAGCGGGGAGCCTGCTTCTCCCTCTGCCTGCCTCTCTCCCTGCTTATGCTCTCTCTCTCTGACAAATAAACAAATAAAATCTTTAAAAAAAAAGATACAAATGAACAGCCAGATGAAGAGGTACACTGGGCAGGTCGGTAAGGGTTCCAACCACAGGAGTTTCTGTTCTTGTGCAGTCAGGGTGTGCCACCCTCTCAGTACACATGCTCACTAACCAGGAAGCTCCTTGAGCCTTGTTGTTCAGGGTATTTAATATCAAGATTTCATTACACAGGCATGTGTGATTAAATCATTGGCCATGCACGAGGATGTGGAGAAAGGGGAACCCTCTTACACTGTTGGTGGGAATGCAAACTGGTGCAGCCACTCTGGAGAACAGTATGGAGGTTCCTCAGAAAGTTAAAAATAGAACTGCCCTATGACCCAGCAATTGCACTAGTAGGTATTTATCTAAAGGATACAAAAGTACTGATTTGAAGGGGCACATGCACCCCAATGTTTATAGCAGCACTATCAACAATAGCCCAAGTATGGAAAGAGCCCAAATGTCCATCGACTGATGAATGGATAAAGAAGATGTGGCATATATACACAATGGAATATTACTCAGCCATCAAAAAGAATGAAATCATGCCATTTGTAACAACATGGATAGAACCAGACTGTATTATGCTAAGCAAAATAAGTCAGTCAGAGAAAGACAATACCATATGATTTCACTCATGTGAAATTTAGGAGACAAAGAGATGAACATAGGGGAAGAGAAGGAAAAATAAGATAAAAACAGAGGGAGGCAAACCATAAAAGATTTAACTATAGGGGCGCCTGGGTGGCTCAGTCATTAAGCATCTGCCTTCGGCTCAGGTCATGATCTCAGGGTCCTGGGATGGAGCCCCACATCAGGCTCCCAGCTCATTGGAGAGCCTGCTTCTCCCTCTGCCTCTGCCCCAGCTCATGTTCTCTCTCTCTCTCAATAAATAATTTTTTTTAAAAATTAAAAAAAAAAAACATTCAGAATGAGGGGCACCTGGGTGGCTCAGGTCATGATCCCAGGGTCCCGGGATCGAACCCTGCATCAGGGTCTCTGCTTGGCTGGGAGCCTGCTTCTCCCTCTCCCTCTGCCTGCTGCTCTCCCTGCCTGTGTTCTCTCTCTCTCACACAAATAAATAAAAATATTTAAAAAAAAGAAAAACTGCCAAAAGAAGAGAGAATACACAAATTATCAATATTAGGAATGAAACAGGAATTATCACTACAGACTCCACAAACATTAAAAGTATAATGAATGGAGCAAACAATGAATCATGGAATACTACATCAAAAACTAATGATGTAATGTATGGTGAGTAACATAACAAAATAAAATTGAAAAAAAAAGTATAATGAAGGACATATGAAGGACACTATACACATAAACCAGACAACAACGGAGCAACTCATCGAAAACAATAAACACAACAATTCACCCAAGATAAAAGGAAGAACCTGAATAGTCCTATTAAAAAACTTGAATCCATATTTTAAAACCTTCCCAAAAAAGAATCTCTGGGCTCAGAGATATTTCCCCCCCATGACAAATTCTACCATAATCTAATATTTGGGGGGGGGGGCACAGGGAGAGGGAGAAAGAGAATCTTGAGTAGGCTTCACACCCAGCTTGGAGCCCACTTCAGGGATCAATCTCACAACCCTGAGACCATGACCTGAGCGGAAATGAAGAGTCGACACGTAACTGATTGAGCCACCCAGGCACTCCTACCACATTCAAACATTTAAAAAAAAAAAATAAAACAAATCTATAAATCTCTTCCAGAAAAAGAAGGAAAGGGAACATTTCCCAAATCATTTATGAGGCCAGCATTACCCTGTCATCAAAACCAGTCATAAAACTAGGGGTAAAATGTAATGCCTGGGGTGGAAATTTTATAAAAATAAGAATAAAATAAAATAATAAAAACAAAAAATAAAAACAAAGACAATACAAAAAATAACAGAGCAATCTATCTCATGAACACAGATACAAAAATTCTCAAAAGATACTAGCAAATTAAATTCAGCAATAAAAGAAG